CTATTGCATAAATTGCTTTTGAGAGGATACGACTTTACGATTATAAGGTGAATTCTCAAACCAATTGTTTGTTGGTGTAGTGATAATTGGAACTACACTTGGTAGGGAGGACTCGTGTTCGATCCCCGCAACAACAATTGGGAGGGGACTGGAACCTAACTACCCAAAATTGATCCGAATTCGGATTATCCCAAAGGGTGAAATGGGTGAAACACCAAAAAAAACAATGTGAATTCTCAAGCAATTACATCAAATCTTGCTTTGTATCGTCGTAGAGACTGTAGAGAAGATTGATTTTGGAGACCCATTACTTTGTTTTTGCTACTTTCTATTCAAGTAATTAAAAATTGCCACCATATATTTAGCTGTTAATTGGTTTAAATGTTGCGGACTATATCTAGAAATTTGCACTAATCTGTAAACAGTGCAAAATATTATCCATTGAGCGAATAAAAAATCCATACACACTATTATATACATGTATATATATCTTCATGTCTTTTAACCACAAATTTATCTTATTATGTTGATTTACTAAATTACATGATACACAACGACGATATAAGCAAGCAAATGTTCAATTATGCAAAGGGCAAACACAATTCTCTTTGAGGTTGATTTTTCTCGTCTTTTAACCAAATCGAACGCTTTTAAACTAGTTCATCGAGGAAAGTATCCTAGGGTTAAATTGTAACATTAAGCATGACAATTACATGAGCTATGTTCCCTTGACAAGACAGCTGCCAGTATCGTATAAACTTCTCATCTTGTGGCCTGGACGTTTCGAATATCACGGTGTTGCTTAGCTCATTGAGCATGACACTAACCCCAGCCCCACCAAGCCGTTGTTTAAGGTAATAGGCTATGATTAGTGTCAAGAAAAGATTCGTATTTCCGCCGCGATTCCAACGATAGAGTGATAGCCCGAGACCAAGCAAGATAATTGTCACCCTTCAACACGATATGGGTAATCAAATTCCCTGGTTGATCTCCAGAACCGAGATAAAAAGGAAAAGAAGGATCAAGCTTTCCATCCTCCATGATCAATCGAATAGAGCAGTAGAGTAGAAGAAAAAAAAAATCAGAAATTTAGGGTTTTAGTGATTAGAGTATAGAGGCTCCGATACCATGTCAAGAAAAGATTTTCCGTATTTTCATTAGAGTATGGATTAGAGTATTTATACAAGAGATTAGGGCACAATAAATAGGCCCGTTAACTATACAATATAAATACTAATTATAGGCCCTAACAATTAGGCACTTTTGAACCTCTTTTCTTGAGTCCATTGTATCGTTTGCGGCTCAAGGCATACCATAAGAAGATGGAAACTAGGTTGTTCCTACTCCATATGAATATATGATATTTTAGTATCCCTTGTAGGCTTGTAGCTATATATCCATCTCCACATGTTTGGTGTGTTGGTATTGTACCGGGTTGATAGCTAGAAAGGTAGATGGCGCAGGCATTTTCACAATAAATAATAGTAGCTTGACGAAGAGGACAATGTAGCTCTAATAAAAAGAATACGAGGCCAACAAGCCTCATAGACAACATTTGCGAATTCTGATTCTGCACTCGATTTAGATAATGTAGGTTAACACTTAGATGACCAAGAAACGAGGTTGTCCCAAGAAAGCAGCTATAACATGATGTGAAACAACAGGTGTCGGGAAAACCTCCCCGGTCAGCGTCAGTGTAAGTAATCAAATGAGTATGAGCAGACGGATATAAATGTAAGTCATGATCAATGGTATCCTAAACATAGCGCAGAATGCGCTTCAAAGCATCATAATAATGAGATTCCCGACGGTGGGCATCATGCATAAAAAGACACACTTGTTGCACCGCATAGGAAATATCAGGCCACTGAAAGTAAGGTATATGAAGAGCGCAACAACTGCTAAACTGCGATACAAAGTAGGATCCAAAAAAAGGTGGTTCTTTGGTGTCAACTGGAGTAGCTGCAAGTTTACAAGAGCCCATACCTGTACGCTCTAAAATTTCATGTGCATTTTTTGCTGACAACGTAGCAAATAAGGAGTACATGTCACCGCGATCCCTCAAAATAACTCAGAAGGCCCAAATCAGACATAGGAAGCTCAATTTGCACATGCAACTGAGGTATGATTCCCACACGAAACCTGTCAGAAGAGGCAGCTTATATAATATTATCATCAACATAAAGAAGCAAATATGTCATATCATCACCCTGCGAAAAGTAAAAAGAGTTGAAAACTCAATCTGACCAAAACATTCGCAAAGCGCTAGTACCAAGATCGAGGGACTTGCTTCAACCCATATAGAGTCTGATGAAGCCGACATACATAGGTGGGTGCTCTCCGATCAACAAAGCATTAAAGGTTGATGCATATAAACAATTAATCACCATGTAAAAAGGCATTTTTGACATCTGATTGATAAATAGATCATTTCTTAGCCATAGCGAGCTAAGCTTAGAACGGTACGAATACCTTAAACGTACTATACTATTAGCTTTTTGTTTCTTAGGCTGGTTGAGCTGCGTTAGTATCAAATCATGTATGTTGGGAATCTCAACACTAACCTGCCTTATTTAATTTAGTTAACTAGGTTAGATCATGTGCATGCACGGTGACTATAGTTATATACAATTATAGGTTATTGATTGATGTTATAATCCTAAATTAGTCGAGGAATAATAGTTCGAATTTTTTTTAGAAAGATTTGTGAAATCTTTTTTTATTTCAAATATTACTACAAATTATTATGGAATATGTGTAAAAAAAATGATGTTAAATGATTTGTATTTTTAACTAATAGATTAAATAACTAGGACCCACTAGGAGATGATATGTGTCATTGCTAATGTGTCTTTTAGTATATACAGTATATATTATTGACTCGTCATGTCGTGTTCTATTTGATTAAACGTATCAAAAACTCTTATACTGATAACCCTATTAGTTTTTTATGTTTGATTAATATCATGTTGTTGTATCATGTCACTTTTAACAGCTGTAATTTTAATACCTTGTAAAACATGTGCACAAAAAATGAAATTTATTTAAGGTACGATACAATGTAGGGCATGTTCACTTCAGCTTTTTTTCAGTTCAGCTCCAATTAATTCATTTAAGTTCAGCTCCTAATTTATCTCTTTCATAAAATATTCAGTTCAGCTCAATTCAATTCAGTTCAATAAATGTGAACATGTCTGTAGTTCATAAATAATAACGAATTAAGAGATGTGATATGAATAAAAATAAAAACTTGTGAAATAAATCTAGTTTGACTAAAGGGCTTTTTAGGTAGTAGAAGATACCTTAAAAATATTAATGAGATACCTTAAAACACGATTAGTCGATTATGATCTGCGAAAATTATTCAATGTAATTATGAATGCGTGAATAAGATCAAGCTAGTAAACGGGCTACAGACATGTAAACGGACAATGGACTCGAATTCGAGTCTGAATCCGAAAAATCCGAGTCTGAATCCGTTCTGACTCGTAATTTTCGGATCCGAATCCGGTCCGTTTATACGGACCTCCGAAATGATCCGAATATTTTTTTATTTTTATTTTTCGTAATGTCATATACCTATAATTTCTTGTATTGTCATACCAATTAAAGTATAAACATAACATATTTAAATTATAAACTAAGTTACATAACAAAATTTTGGTACAAAACAAGCAAATAATTGTCCCAAGTTATATAGCATATGCTTATACTCTCGGATTCGGACTCGGATCAGACTCCGTTGACTTTGCGTATGGTCCAAATCCGATCCACCTCCTATTCGGATTCGGATCTATTTTATCGGATTCGGACTCAGACTAATTTTAAATGGATTCGAATCGGATTTTTTCCTTCGGATCGAATTCGAATCGAACTCAGATTAAATTGCCATCCCTACTCTAGAGGTAACATTTACCACTAAATAGAAACACACTAGAAATGTTTATTTGTAGCCCTAAACTGCCCTACTCAAAACAAGCTCATCATGGCCCACATAATTATACTTCTACCAATCTCTCAGCCCCATTTAAGACTTAAGTGTCTTAAAACATAGTACTCCTTATAAGACTTACTTTTCTTAAATATCGTACAAAAAAATATGTGACAAGTATCAAAGAAACAGAGAAAATATAAAATGCAAACAAGTAAACACCCAAAGTCTTCAACCATTTAGAGCCTGCATTGAATAGGCCTGCCTAAAAGTACCAATAAGACCCAAAATTTAATTTGGTCCTCCCCTGTCGTCCAAAAATGCTTTGATGTAACCCAATTATGTTGATCACAATTCATAGCTAGTCCTTGAAAGTAGAGATAATCAAAGGGCGGGTTGGGTTGGCTTTGAGCTGGTCCAAGGCAAGATAAAATAGTCCGTTTGGTCAGGCCATGCCTAGGTTTGGGCCATAAAATGCTTGCCTAGACCCGTAAAATATAAAAGAGCCGGGTCTATAAAAACAATAACTTAAAAATCATTAAATTAAAATGCATATCCAAACCCGAGACAAGTTTTCTGAACAAATTGGGTTGGGTTGGGTTGGACGGGCCTGAGTTGACTTTGGTCTATTTTTTTTCCCAAAGCCAGCCAAAATTTGGACTGGCCAAGTGGTCGGGTTAAATTTGATCTGCTCTACTTAGCTTGAAAGTTGAAACCCAAAAAATCAACGCAAGTCGAAGCTCCTCTAGTGGCTAATCAAGTAGCCACGGCTGATCATGTAGCCACGCTTTTGTAGTAGCCTTGATGGCTATGGTTTCTGCGACTGCCATCTTGCTTGGCCTGCCAAAGTTTTACCTCCACACACTATTTTGCATAAATTGCATAGAGGATTTGAATTTTAAAGCTACATGTGAATTATTTACATAGAGACTCTAGAGAGGATTAATGCCGTATTTGATACTTTCAATTTTATTCAAGTAATTTAATATTGCAACCAAAGTTAGTTGTAAATTGGTTTAAATTTTTAGGATTAATTATATCTAGAATTCTAGAAATTTGCTCTATATATAATCTAAACTTAAAACACAAAACATTAATATTTCAATAATAAAATCCATACACACCATCATAAATACACTTGTACAGTATACTTTCGGTTCGCATTACTCACAACAAAGGAATATTTTATGTCTCACAAATAAAACCCCTCTGTTGTAAGTAATGCGAACTGGAGGTAGTATTACATACATGCTCAAAACATAAATAAATGAAAAGTAATGCATCTTAATGAAACCATCAAACTAGCAAGCGAATGTTCAGATATGCAAAGGGCAAACACAATTCTCTTTGCCAATATCAGAAGCAACACAAGGAGGTTGATTTTTCCCGTCTTTGAACCAAATCCAACGCTCTTCAACTAGCTCGTCGAGGAAAGTATCCAACGTCTTCTTCGTCATATTAGGCATGACAATTACATGAGCTATGTTCCCTTGACAAGAGAGCTGCCAGTATCGTATAAACTCCTCATCTTGTGGACGTTCGAATACCACGGTGTTGCTTAGCTCATTGAGCATGACACTAACTCCGGCCTCTCTAAGCCGGTCTTTAAGGTAACGGGCTAAGATTAGGCAATTTTGAACCTCTTTCTTGAGTCCATTGTACCCTTTGCGGTTCAATGCATACCATAAGAAGACGGGGGCTTGACCGTTCCTACTTCCCATGATTGTAGTATCCATTGTGGCTATATACTCTACATTAGTCCTTGCTAGAGCATTAATGTGTTCTATCCTAATCATCTGAACACCACAAGGCATCGGGGTTCCCACGAATTTGTGGCCCGAAACACATACACTATCAATTGGCTTCTTGAATGTTATATGAGGCGCCTATATGGTACATTCGGACAAGAAAATGATAATACATTAGTGTGAAAAGAAAAATCAAGGAAGTGATATGATGATGCATGGTATTTAAAATCTATTAGCTTTCCCAAAACATGATGGTGTCTACTCCGTAAGTTTCATTGCTTAATTAGGCGCGTTTTCCCACCAAAAGTGTCCATTCTACCATACCACAAATTATGCATGACCAAGTTAAGTCTTGCATGGGTATATGGTGCGGTAAGACATGGGTGTGCATGAAATTTGATGACTACCTACTAGCTAGATAGGGTGTAAATGTGCTTAATAAGAGTACTGTTTATTATTAAGTTGCAGATTGTAAAATGACAATATTTTTGAAAATAGGATAGTGCACCTTGGTGCACCCGATTAAAAAAAAAAGGAGGAATGAACATACCTGTAATAATTCTTATCTCTCAAATCAAAATTGAAGGCACCATTATGCCAGTCGAAGTAGGTAATGTGAAAATTGGTAAGGTGAATGACTTTATTTGGACTTCAATTTTAATTTTAGGGATAAGAATTGAAGATTTGGGATTTGTTTGGTTCTAAAATTAGGGTTTTATAAGGGAGAAAAAGGGCAATAGATGGAAAAAGACGGGAAAAAAAAGTTCATTTAAGTGGTCACGTACTGTGCGCGTGACTATTTTCTGCCGGAAAATTTGGTGAACACCGGAAATTGGTCAAAGGACTCTCCCCACAACCCAAATATGATATAAGGACCTTATATGCCACCTTTTTTTTTTATAAAAGAGCCTTTCTCACAAGGTCAATCACTTAAAAGAACCTTCCTTGCAAATTGTCCTAAGTTCTATTTTTATTATCGTATGTAATATTTAAATTATAAGATAGTTACTAACCTGATTTAGGAATGGAAGCATAAGACCAAACAAGGCTGCATCACAATGGATATAGAATCGATTGCGTGGGAAACCACACTCTTCAAGTGTTTGTACCACAAGATCAATATCATCAATAGCACCTTTTACCGTAGTCCCTGCAACAAGAGACCGCAAATGGGTCATACCATTGCGTTTAGTGGGTTGATTACAAGTATAAATTTATAATGTTACGAGTACCATAATCGCTTAATACAAGTAATATACATCCTTATGTAACACTGAAAGATCAAGCATCATCATGTACTCGATCGATCTGAGCTTAATTGTGTATTATTAAAAAAAAAAAAAAGGAAGTAAAAGGAATACCTATGGCCATATTCATGATGGCAGGTTTATCTTTGTTGTTAAGAAGACATTTCTTCAAATCTCTACAATCAATCACCCCAGAAGCTAGTGTTTCAACCTTAACACAATTCATTCGGTACATACGTGCAACTTTAAAGACCGAGTAGTGTGCCTCTTTCGAAGCATACAATATTCCATCAGGAAACATTTCTCTCCTACGGAGAAAAAAAAAATGTTTAATATGTCTACAACTTCGTATTGCTCACTTAGTTTTAGTAATAATCAAAATATCAATTACATATGGAGTACATAAAGTTTTTCCCCAAAATTTTAGAACAATACGTAGGATATTCTTTATTTATTTTTTTTAGAAAAGGGTAGAGCGCCACGCAAAATTATAATTTTAAATAAAGCGTCACGTAATATTATGATTTTTTAAAAATTAACTTGAATAAAATTAATACTAAAAAAATCGTATTAAAAAAAACTAATCTATATCGTTAATAATTAATGTCCTTTTTATATTTTATCATAACTAAACGTATAAACAAGGGCTTATTTTAAGCAATGATAAAAGAGATTTGTATTTTATTCTAAAATTTAAAAGAAATACAATCATCGCATTAGCAAAATTAACTAATAAGTTTGAGAATTTGATTTTAAATATAAAAACGACGAATAATGGTTTAGGATTTAAATTATTGAAAATAACAACAATAACAAAAAAATATCTTTTCACATAAAAAGTTAATCCTATAAATGACATAACATATATATAGTTAAAATTACTTTTTTTTTTAATAAAAATTAACACGTAACTAACCTTATTAACGAATAAGGTTGCATCATAAATTTATAAATTACATTAAAGCTTAGACTTTTTGAATAGGCTATAGCAATGTTGTTTATTTTTTCTTCTCTAACGGTCTGTTCTGTTCACCTTATTTTTTCTTATTTCAGGTTTAATAAGTTCAAATAAGTTCATTTAAGTTAAAATAAGTAGTTCTGATAAGTTCAGTTCAGTAAAAATAAGTTCAGTTATGGAAAAATAAGTTCTGATAAGGGTTGCCCAACTTCAAATTACAACTAAAATAAGTTTTAATAAGTTCAACTAAGTTCTAAAAAGTTCAGTTAAGTTCAGATAAGAAAATCAGGTAAATAAAATCTTTGTATTGCATGGGCTTTCATCTAGCTTTTGATGATAAAATTAACTTTGATACATATTAGAATTTAATAAATTGATTTTCATAAATTAGTGTTTTATTTATCATACACCACTTATATTATTTACTGTTTTTTTTACTGAAAATTTAATATTGGCTCACTTACCCTATAAGTAGGCCATGTAGGTTTCCTTCTGTTCCACCACTGGTAACATATCCCCAATATTCATTCTTGTTGATCTCCCAGAGACGAGCAAACCAATCTAATACACCTACTTCGAAGTCCCTTGAGTGCACACCATAGTTGCCCGCAATAAATGGATCACCGGCGTTGTTAATTGACAGTCGTTGCAAAGGACCAAGAGCATCATAGTTAAAGTCTGAATTCAGTTGATATCCTACAGTCACACGTTAGCTGTAGCTCAAGGTCAGTTTGTTTCATCTTATTTTAATATATATACAAGACAAGACATTGGTCATTGGGACACGTATTGCTGCTCATATCTTCACTAGTTAGAGTAAGTTTTGCTATATCTAGAGGAGTGGGGGTCCACATTGTATCTCGACCTCCCACTAATTTTTTATAAATTGTATAACTTTGTCTATTTTTGAGATATAATAATAATAATAATAATAATAATAATAATAATAAACACAAATTAAATATATAATTGCTGCAGCTCATATCTATACTAGGATCGGCTTTTCTATAGCTAGAGGAGTGGGGGCCCAGATTGTATCTCGGCTTCCCACTAATTTTCTATAGGTTGTATAATTTTGTATGTTTTTGAGATATAATAATAATAATAATAATAATAATAATAATAATAATAATAATAATAATAATAATAATAATAATAATAATAATAATAATAATAATAATAAATTAAGTATATAATGTACAATACCTACTCTATTATAAAAGTTGGTCATGCTTGATTAATGTAGCACGTTGGGATGCTAGAGGTTGTAATAAGTTTGTATTGTTGGGTTCTTTTCCCCAAAACTTGATCACTTTGGCGGAATTAGACCTTATATAATGAAATTCGTAGCTTGGTTTCAAAAAAATGTACAATACTCTATTACAAAAGATGTACTAATATATTAAAAGGCGTTACTAAGAACTTCTCTGAGCCAATACTCTATTACAAAAGCTGTACTAATATATTAACTTCTCTGAGCCACGTAGACCAAGCCACATCACCTACTCCATCTTTCATTCAATCAACTAGAATATTATTCATATAAAAAAAACGTTGATAAGGGGATTCGAACACCCAACTTTTTATAAGAAAGATAATTACTTAACCATCTAAGCCAATCATAAACTATGTTATAAAAATGAAAATAAATGTATATAATTGAAAATCACAAGGTCTAATTAAAGTAGCAACCGGTGCAACACTCGGACTACATACTAGTTAAAATTTAAATATAAACATGGTTGGGTTATTCTAATTTAATTATTTTTCAACGGAGAAGTGTGGTCATGGATTATTGTCCTTAAAATTTAGGAAAAATACACTTTAATTTAATAATCCCAACGACTTTGCTCAATTTTCTTTAAATAATCACAATATTCGATTATTCTGCAATAATCGTCCCAACTTTTACTTGCATTTTCACTCTTTGTTAGAGATATCGGAAAATATATGTGTGGTATATTTTCCATAGATATCATTTAAGAGAATAATATATTTAATTAGGATATTTATGTTAAGATATTATTTTGAGAATATATCTTTAGGGTTTATGGTTAGACGTATATCTTTTAGGAAGATTGTTTCATATCTTATGAGCTTAGGTTCTGTATAAATACTCAACCTATTGATGAATAATAATCAAGCAATACAAAAGCTATTCATTCTCTCTTGTCCCTAATTTGACATGGTATCATGAGCAGGTTAAATCTTGGGACCGTTCATAAAAAAATTTTCCCCCTACCAGTGGGTTAGAAATTAAACCCACCGGTGGGATGATCCTTTAGCAAAAATTACCATTTTTTTTAGTTTATTCCGTTGTGCAAGTTAGTGTTGGTGCAGAGTTTGAGTTGATGACTTGATGTATACATTACATCAAGCGTGGCTTTTCTAAGCATTGAGATCAAAATAAAGTTGTTGGTGTGTCTTTGACTCTCAAAGATGGAAAAAAAAAAGTTTTCGGCTCTCTTGTGTCGTGAGACAAGAAATTGGTTCTCCTTGTGCCGTGAGACAAGGTTTGTGAGTTGATTCGAGCATAATTTTGCTCCTTTGGATTTGAGTGTGGTTTACTCTGAAAGACCAATAAGAAATTTGAGTGTGGTTTACTCTAAAAGACCATTTTGAGTGTGGTTTACTCTAAAAGACCAATAAGAAATTTGAGTGTGGTTTACTCTGAAAGACCAATAAGAAATTTGAGTGTGGTTTACTCTGACAAACCAATATTTGATTGGAGCTCGGTTTTGCTCTGAAAAACCAAAATTATTATATTTGCAGGTTCGAAAAGAATGACGTTCCTGCTTGATTGATTGATGACTGATGAGTTCGAAAAGATGAACATTCTCATCATTGAAAAAGAAGAAAAAAAAAATTGAAGGCGACATCACAAGAGTGTGCATCTCGGCTTCAATAAAGTGAAAAATTTCCAATCGCAACGTTCGTGTTACTGCCGTTACGATTGCGGGAGGGTGTTAGAGATTTCGAATAATATATGTGTGGTATATTTTCCGTAGATATCATTTAAGAGAATAATATATTTAATTAGGGTATTTATGTTAAGATATTATTTTGAGAATATATCTTTAGGGTTTATGGTTAGACGTATATCTTTTAGGAAGATTGTTTCCTATCTTATGAGTTTAGGTTTTGTATAAATACTCAACCTATTGATGAATAATAATCAAGCAATACAAAAGCTATTCATTCTCTCTTCTCCCTAATTTGACACTCTTCAATCCCGGAAACCGATAACCTGGAGACAGAGTTAAATTTTTTGTAAAAAAAAATATAATTGCCACATGTCGCTTATGTGTTGGTTCGAAAAATGTAAAAATATTTTTTATAAAGAAAAACAATCAAACCTTAAGCCTGCCATGACCACCGCCGGTGGCCAAGGCCTCCCCAACCCATCCCTATTTTCAACCTTTATTTCCGTTTACTAGCGCCCACCACCACCCTAATTAAAATGAATTGACAACAAAGGTGAGATTATTAAAAAGAATCCCAAAGGTGGGATTATTAATCTCCGATGCTCAAAAGGTGGGATTATTCCCATCAATATTTCCTCTTAAAAAAGGGTTCTAAAATTATATTTTCTTCCCCTCCACATCTTTTTAGTTGACGTGTTTCTTAAGTCCCGCTTTAAAATGCACAAATTCAACCACTTTTTTTTTTTTTTTTTTTTTTGAAAACCCATTAAGGTGTCATTACATTGATAATTTATTCATCAATACATACGGAGAAACCTCACAACGACTATGGTTCTCCCAAATTTGTTCAATAATAAAAGGTGTTAAACGAGCTAAACTATGGGCAACAACATTTCCATCTCGTTAATAGTTTTAAAATATATACCTGATGAATCTAACATAATTATATAATTACAGATAAGTAAAACTCAACAAAAGTTAATAGTTTTAAAATATATACCATGACGAATCTAACATAACCCCCACATGACTATATTTTTCATTATATATAATTAAAAAACATGGTCAAAGAAAAGTGTGTAAATAATGTTAAAGTCAAAATGTGTCAACTAACAAAAAAAGGGAAGTAATAATGAGCGATATGAAATGAATTAGAGAAATCTTAAATATCATCGTCATCATCACCTAGATTGTGTTTGGTCCTCTCAAGCCATCTATCCGTGTATCTTGCCAAAACATCCGCCATATAAGCTTCCGTTGCTCCGGTCAGCTCATCGTTAACCTCGGGTTCCTTGATGTCAAGGCTGCAAGGGGTGTGCTTATTCCAGCCTAGAGCAATCTCTTTCCGGACATTGTAACTTTGCTCCTTTTTCGCCGTGACAACATTAGTGCCATTAGTGTGATTATGATCTAATTCAAAAGCCAAATTTGTTGAGCCACAAACCACCGTAGATAAAACCATTTTTTGCTCTCTTTTTATTATGAATGTAACACCTACATTCAGCTTAGTTAGTAATCAGTTATTATATAAAAGTTATTACTTAATAATGCGAAAATTTAATCGTATAAAACGAAAAATAAAGCTCCTGAAAACATACATACCTAGTTGATCGGTTATTTATGATAAAAATTGGAGCAAATTATATAATACAACTCATAAGAATGTATGATACTTATAGCTAGCTTATTTCTACTAGTACGAACGGAATATCTATACTATATACATTAAATGCCACGTCACTATTTAAATTACATGCGTGCAAGCCACAACTTCAATTCATTTAACAAAATAAATAAATTATGATTTTATCTAGATTCAAAACTGCAACCTCCAACAAATAAAGGTTACACACTTACCATCTCAACCAACTTTTATTAGTGTTTCAAATTTCACATGATTAACATTATATATTTCTTTCAAATTAGAGGTTATTCAATTTATTTATTCTTCACAATATATGAAAATAAATACATATGAAGGAAAAAAAATCGTAACATTTGAGGCGATGCCCGGATCACATAGTAACTATCAAACAAAATCGAACATAATTATTAAAATAAAGAAGTACAAACTAGCAATCTGGAGCATCGCCCAGGACACACTGGTTATTTATTATACAAAGCAACTACAATTTGACGAATATTGAAAGGTATGTATAAACGCTAACTATTACTGTAATGACATTGTTGAAGGTACAACAAAGTTAAAGCCTTCAATAATCAAGTTTTATAAGATGTCTCCCAAGGGTGGGATTTGTGAATCATGTGATTATGTGAGAGTTTTTTTTTTTTTACAAAAAAAAATAAAATAAAATCTTAGTGTGACATTCAATCTTGACACAAATATTTGCGGAAGAATGATACAGCTATACATTTTTTTTTTTGAAGAATGATACAGCTATACATAGAATAACGAAATGTTGAGGAAAAAACAAAAAAAAAAGGTTAGTGAAGACGTCCCAATTCAATAAGAAACGTAGATTCCGAACTTTAAGGATCATTCGTTTAAAATGGTCTTGAGCGACCGATAATCTGTTAAAAAGGTAATTTTTTGGGGTTTAATTGACGTGTGGAACTACATGATTAGTTGAAATATTACAAAAATAAGATAAGCTAGAAAATAAAAATAAAAAAAGTCAGCCCGACCACCACTCATTTCCGGCAACGCTCAGCCAGTTAGATCCCCCGTCGCCACCTTGTGCCCTCCCCTGCTCCGACACTGTCCTTCCCAACAACCGCTGCCCCTTCCTCGAAAATCACCAACTGTAAAACCCCCGAAATCCATAAAAACCACCTTCTAGCCGCGTATGTAAAACCCCCAACTGTCCCTTTGGGAAACCTCCACCATTATCGAAACCCTAACACTAGGGTTCCGATGGTGGGGGAAGGAATGGGTGGGGGTTTTATGCCGCGGAAAGGTGGTTTTTAGAGAATTTGGGTGTTTTTAAGGGTGGAGTTTTAGTGGTTTTGGGAAAATGGGAGTTGTCGATGCAGGTACGGATTTCAATGGGGTGGGGCGTATTTTCGTCTTCCCATCGCCATCCCCACCTAAAATTTTCATCTCCATTCCCGCGGCGGGCCCAAAATTCATGTGTGCCCAATCCCCGTCCCAGTGGGTACAATTTCAAATCATGCATCCCCGCCCCACCCCCAACTTGGATATTCATCCCCACTTAATCCCTACCTCCCAATACACAATCCAACATAATTAATATAGATTACAAAAAAAAAATATTGTTAATATTACTCACCTTTTTAGTTATAATGTTAGTGTATTACATATTATTATATCTACTATTTATTTTACGTAATTTCTTTTTATAAAGTAGTATAAAAGTATATAATTTTGTTTTAAAATATATATATATAGATGTGAGTAGTGAGGTGGGGATGAAGCGGGATAGGGATGGGGCGGGTACAACGTGAAATCCACCCTCGCCCTATCACCCATGGCGGGTATGATTTTTATCCCCATCCCTGCCGCTCCACTGACATCCCTAAAACAAGCCTAAAACAATTTCCAACCCCCCATCCCCTAAAACAAGCCTTAAATCTTGTGAAACGCTAAACATCGCCCGCAAATTACCATATAAAGCCCACAAATATGATTTGGTGTGACCATTATGCCCATTTTCTAAAATTGAAATAATCTCGGTTTAAAAAATGTGGAGCCGTACTGGCTCGCCGGGGGAGACCAGAGGGCAGGCCGGAGATGCGGGGGACGCCGGAGGTACGTCGTCGTCGACGGAAAACGAGGTAAGTCACCATTAAAATTCACGGTTTACCGTCGGAGTGGCTCCGGCGCCTAGGATGGACGCCCAAACCGTAGCCTGGACGCCCAAACCGTAGCCTGGACGTCCAAGCCAGACGCCAGAACCACCAGAGTGGCGTCCAGCCCAGACGCCCAGACCACCAGACTGGCGTCCTGGCCAGGCGCCACTCTACTGGCTGAGGCGGCCCTGCCAGGCGCCAGTCCAGTGGCTGTGGCAGCCCTGGCAGACGCCACCCTTATAAATTATTTTTTTTTTATTTTTTTATTTTGTTGTTGTTTTTTATTTATTTTTTTTTTTGAAAAAAAAAATCGAAAATGATTTTTTTAAAAAATTCGAAATGGGTTTTTTTTTAAATTAATTTTGAAAATTCGAAATAGGTTTTTTTAAAATTAAGTTTGAAAATTCGAAATGGTATATTTTTAAATTTAGTTTGAAAATTCGAATTGGGTTTTTATAAAAATTAAGTTTGATTATATATAATTATGCTTTTTTTTTGTGTTAATTCTGTGTAAATATAGAAATTAAATGTATTATCCGTTAAATGTATTTATTGTAATATATAATTGATGCAGGAATATGGTGGAGACGGAAATGATTACAGTGGGATATTTGGACATGATGGTCCATTCGAAGAAGCTCAACAGGCGATTGATTGGGCAAAACAGGTTGCAATTGCAGCTGGATTTTGCTTGGTAGTAGTAACTCATAAATCTCAACGGGATGGTAGAATGGATCGCATTTTGAGATGTGACCGTTATCGCAAAAGAGAAGAAAGAGATTTTCGTACAACCACTCGGTTTGATACAAAGCGGAAAGGTTGTGGGTGTGAGTTCAGAGTAAAGGTTCGACAACTACGGAGTCGTGACGGTTGGGAAGTGATTGGTTACTCTAAATGGGGGTATCACAACCATGAGATGATAGTATATGAAGAGGGTCATCGACAGCTGAGCGACTTAAGTCCTGCTGCGAAACTAGTTGTGAAAGAAATGAGTGATGCTCAAGTCAAGCCTGCTAAAATATTAGCATCTGTGTTAGAGAAATTTCCAGAAGACCATCCAAACCGAAGACACATCTACAACGTCAGACAGCAACTCAGGTTTGAACGGTCAGAGGGAAGGAACCCTATACAGCAGCTGCTACACCAGGCACAATCACGTGGTTACCTGTTCTGGTTTGATTCTGATGAAGATACAGCGGAGGTGACTCATCTTTTCCTTGTGCATCCTGATTGTGCTGATATGATCAAGTCTTGGCCATTTGTGATTTTGATCGACTCAACGTACAAGACAAACAAGTACAAGTTCCCACTGGTTGAGATCATGGGGATGACTCCAACGAACCAGAACTTTCTGATTGGTCATGCAATCATCAAGGATGAGACGGCTCCAAGTTATTATTGGGTGTTGGAGAAGCTGAGAAACTACATCGGGCCTAATGTTCATCCAGCAGCCATCGTCAGCGACTGTGAGGGAGGTCTCTTTGCCCCCATAGCAGAGCTGTTTCCAGAATCGAACCACTTCTTGTGCACATGGCACATCAACAACTGCGTGAAAGTGAAAGCCTACAACCTTTTCAACAAGAATTTGGAAATGGCAGAGAGATTGGTGAATGGTAAGTGGCGGAAGATCCTACAGGCTACCACAGAGGAAGCGTATGAGCGAGCATTGGCTAACTTCAGGGATTCGTACCAGTGGTGTCCGGCACTGGTGGACTATGTGATGCAGCAATGGGTCCCTCACAGGGAAAAGTTTGTCAAATATTGGACAAACCAGGTACTTCATTTTGGGAACACTACAACATGTAGAGTTGAGAGCGCTCATAGAGCTACCAAGGACTGGATTGATTCATCGACCGCTGCTTTGGATACACTGTTTGATAGACTTAACAAGTCAATTGAAACTCAGAAGAACGACATCAGGAACTCTCTAGAGGACTCCAGACGACGACATGGTACGATGTATAGCCATTTTATATTTAAGATTCTCCATGGTCGTGTGTCGCACTACTGCTTGGGGTTGATTCTCACTGAGCTGAACAGGATGAGGGACTTGGCTAACGAAGTGTATGCTCGGTGTGGGTGTGCTATTTCAGTAACTCATGGATTACCTTGCGCATGCACCATTCACCGCGTTATTACAGAAGAAAGGGCGTCGTTACATGTTGATCAGGTCCATTCATTCTGGAGGACGCTTGTTATTGGTGAGCATGCAGACACTCAAACGGCCGACCGTGAACAGGAGGAGTTGGAGCATTTTCGTTCGATGTACGACCGAGTGTCCTCCAGCCATCCTTCTATTATTCGTGATGCTACTCATGTACTTCATGACATGTTCCACACGTCTACCTTAGATTATGAGGAACCCGAAGGAGTTGACCGTCCTCGAGGTCGACAACGGCGGAACAGGAGTGTGTTTGAGTATATCCGTGGTCTTGGTCGTGGTCGTGCTCGTGGTCGGACATCGTCATCTAGTCGTAGTCACTCTTCATCGTCTGTGAATATGCCCCTGAGAACTGGTACGTTTTGGTTGTTTACATTGCACATAGTTTTAAAGTGTTACTCCTGCCTTCTTAACTGTCTATAATTATATGGTGAATAGGAAGAAACGATGTTGATCAGTTTCCGTACAAGGAAAGGATACCTGCGATCATCATGTCGTACTTGGAAGGGTGGAATGATGTAGTCGGAGATGGTAACTGCGGATTCCGGGTCGTGGCTGATGTTTTTCAAATGGGCGAAGACAACTACGGTTTGGTGCGTCAGTTGATGTACAACGAAATTTCCTCTAACCGAAATGTTTATCGTCATGTGTACCAGGATGACTTGGATGGCGCTCTGCGGCGTATCCGGTGGGGAGGTGGACCTTGCGGCCAAAATCATTATTTTGACGCGCCCCTAGATCTGTTTGCCGTT